AGGTGGGGGTTCTCTCCGTCCCATATCTTGCTTCAAACATGCTTCAAATGTCCCAAGTACTTTCTTGAGAGGAAACAATCTGGCAGTCAATGTCACAAGGCTCTCCAGAAGACATTCATTACCCACGTCCTTCACAAAAGGACTTTGACTTGAAAGGGATTATTCTAGCCATGGTTGGTATAGGTAAGTAGACGGAGGATTAAAAGTAACAAAGCGCAAGGAGCTTCAAGAAGTGAGGGACTCTGCTCCAGCACAAGGTCGCGCTTATTAATTGGCAGTAGGCGGGCCCACTTGCTGCCCAGCCCAGCTTTGGACGTACACGTCGGATGGTGGACTCTGAGGCGTTGAGTCCAAATATATTTTTGAATATACCACATTTATCTCACGAACCGTTTGCCACGTGACTATAGAGATGATCTTTTATCTAAAAATTACATGAAAGTGATTTTCTTCAGTTTCTATGAATGTCATACAGTTGATCACTTGCAAATTATATTATTAATGGAAAATAATCACAAACAAATAACAGTCTATATCAATTTTGCAAAGGTGTATTGGCAGTTGGTGTTTTTTGTGCGAAATATACACTTACATGTGTGTCACGTGATGGTATTTTCGGACAACATGAACCGACGTCTAAGTCCGTTGAGCTCAATAACTATACAGGTTTTTGACCGAGCGATGAGGGACCTCGTTGGAAAATTCCTATCACGTGATTATTGGAATTATTTTTGCTTGAAGACAGATGATCACAGCCCTAAGAGTTTGCTTCTGCCTTTTATTCAAAATTAGTTTGTCTGTCCAGAATTGAGTCTTAAGAGTCATAAAATCACCAATAAAACTGTATTGATTTTCTCATGGAGATGTTTTTACCATTTATCGCAATGCATGTTCGTGCTGTTTGGCAGAACCAGAGAATCCAATCTTTGATTAACAATAGTTATTGACGCTAGACTCTCTGAAATCGCACACACAAATATAAAAATGAAAACTTGGAGCGGTAGCATATTTTGAAATTGCCAAGTAAACAGCTCAACCTCCTACATGCATGAC